GCCCCCCGTGCCCAGCGCCCCGCCCGGCCCAGGCCCAGGCAGGGCCTGCCCGCGGCTCCCGGCGGCCCGGGGCGCGGCCGCTGCTTCGCTGCCCGGCTGGAAGATCGCCTGGCCGGTGCCCGTGTCGATGTCGGTGCGGCTCGCAGGGCACGGCTGTGGCACGCGGCTCTGGAGTCGGGTTTACCTGGCCAAAGTTAAGTGTGCCCCTGAAATACCCGCGGTTTCGAGGTGAGGCAGGCGAGCAGCCCCCCTCAGGATCCTAGTGCCATGTCTCCCATTTCACAGAATATTCTGAATTGAAAGGAACCCGTAAGAATCATGGGGTGCATCTCTCCAGTGAATGGCCCATACACGGATTAAACCTACAGCCTTGGCATTACTAGAACCAGGCTCTCTTTCAGGAGCCTGTAGTAGTCCCCTAAAAACACTTGCCTTACTCCACGCACTTGGGAACTTGTTAGGCAAAGTAAAGACAGGCTGAGCCTAGATGTGACGCATCAGCTTCAGTGGTGAGCCACTTTAGCTGGTGGAAATGGAAGAAGATGCTTTCTTGCCAGGTAGAGGCAGTGGAAGGAGGAAGAAGCTGCCTTTGGTAGCCGAGATGAGAGAGTTGTGACGTGCAAGGGGCAGCTGCGCGAGTAGACAAGGAGCTAGGGAAGGAAGATGAAGATGGGCCATTTGTAAATGCTGTAGCACTGGCAGGACCAAGGCAATGTGAGTGAAGTTATCAGCAGCCTGGTAGCCAGTGAGGTGTGGTTGAATCCTTTTGGGTTCATGTGAGTCCAAACAAGATGAGCCAGAACAGGGATGGAATGATGCTGGAAAAACAGATGTCAGGAGGAGAAGAGAGCGATTAAAGTCTTGCTTGACACAGAGATACTTTGGTTAGACAGCATGATTGGGTGAAAATTCTATATAGCTTTTCACACAATCTATATCACAAAATTCTATATAGCTTTTCAGCTTATCGGCATTTGAGTAGAGAGCAAGAAAAATTTGGAAGTGAATTGATAACCAAAGAGTGTGTGAAAATATATGTTGGGTGTAGGAAGGAGCTTGTCATGGGGTAGAAGGCTTTGAGGTTTCCAGAGCTGTAAGCTCCAGAGTGTTAATGACCCTTTGCTGTCTCAACTGTTTTACGTCCTGCCTCCATTGACTGGAAGGGCTTTGGTTGTATCACACTCAGTACTACTGTGAAGGGTCTCATGGTAAGGAGATTGGGAAGTAACAATTCCTATGTTCTATGATGAGAGAAATATTCCAGTAAAGAGTTTTTAAAAAGTCTGAAGACAACAAAAGAAAATGAGCTGTGCTTGTTTAAAAACACAAGCTGAAGATTAATTCTTGCCAAGAGTGACAGAGCATCAAAAGTAGAATCAGACTATTTTATGAAGTCGGACAACAGTGACACAAGGAGGTTTAGTTATGTTTATATGTCAGTTTTCTAATACCTGATTCTGGTTTCATTGTTTTTTTCAACATAGAGCTTAAATAATTAATAAAAACACTTTTGTGGAGCACGTTTCTGAATGAAGTATTTTGTCAGGTTAAGCTTTCTTTGGTTCTCTGATACTAGTAAATTATTGGACCAGTGCTGTGATACATGTTCCCTTTTCCTGTTGCATAAATAGTTTTTTATTTTATGTAAATACTTCTTGTACCAAACCTAACATGTCAAGAATTTCACTTAAAAAAAAAAAAAAATAAAGTCATAACAGTTAACAAGCTTGTTTGCTAACATCTACCTAAAAATTGTTTCTGTCTGCAAAGCTTTTCCACTCCATCCACCACTTGGGTTTCTTGTAGTCTTGAGCTTAAGGACTGGACCTCCATAATGAAAGAAGGGATTGAAAGAATATAATTCTTCAGTTCTTAAAATTCTGACTCAGTCTGGTATGAGTTCTCAGTGCACTAAGTGGCTGTTGATTCCTGCCATGGGACTGCAGTCATAAAACTATAATCATGAGCCATATACTGTGATTTAAGATAAGAAATTTTTTTAACTGTATTTTTCTAAAATAGTAACTGTTGAACTACAAGTAATGCATATTTTTAGTCCACCCTGTAAGTGATAGTATTTGGCAAAAACAGAGGCATATTGGTTTTTACCATACAAAAAGGTACTGAGAGAGTTTTTTATGTTAAGACTGGACATAGTTGTATGACAGTAGTTTTTGGGTGTTAGTGCTAGTAGAGAAAGTATTTTTGACTGGCATGGAAAGCAGTGCTAGACCTATGAAAAAATGCAGTGCATTCACAGCTGGAGTTTGACAGGGAACCCAGAGCTACTAGAAAGTCACTGCTTTTGACATTATTTCTGGGGTTACAGTCAGTAATACTCGTGAAGACACTGACAAGAAGATTACCATTTGGGATGGTGAGCAGAGAAATATAACTGCTCATGATTTATTGATTGGGAATTAGTTGAGGCTATTTTGATGGAAGCCACTACTTACAGCAATAATCTGATGAAATATAAATTAAATTACTAACTTTGCATTCCTCTATTTTTTTTTTAATTTAGCAAACATATTTATAAATATCAAAGACATCTGGTTTGAATTGTTTGCCTAAAGGTGACGGTCTCTAGAAACAAGGGCACAAATGCAGCAAGTAAGACTAAATGCTGGTCACTTCTAGATTAGAATTCCACTGCGCAGAAGAGATGTTAATATGTTGTATGCAATATAAGATGGGCCAATAAAACCACAGCTGTTGCAATTAGACATGTGAAGTACTGGATGTGCTGAGACTGTGCTTCAGCTTGAAACATTAATTGTGATCTGCAGAATGTTTTCAGATGTTTGAACACCCAAAGAGAGAGAATCCAGACTGTCCTAAACTGTGTTGGTGAAAATGTAACCATCAAATAGCTAGTGTTTATAATTCACAGCACACTTTGAAGCTTTGTAGAAGATCCTTAAATCAGTGAGGCTGATGTTATTCACTTTGTTGCAATGACGGCTGACCTTTTGTTGGTATACTTTGAAGCAAGAGCTGCTGAAGAGTGCATGGAGGAAATGCATGGTAAATTTCACTTTATAATCGCTATTTGCTTGCTGTGATGGCATGGTACAAATGAGATGATAATGCAGAAGTCAAGAGTCATTCAGCTCTCCAGCTACCACCAAGTTCTGTGCAGCCAGTTCACATTAAGAACCTGGTGTGCACAGAAAGTGCAAAGCTTGACTGAATAGTGAAGAACTGTGTGTTTTGGTTTATTTAACCAAAACACAGTCTGGTAGACTCAAAAGATCTACTTAGAAATACAAATCTATAGAACATTTATTTTATTCAAATTGTCCATTTATAGGCTTAGAAATGACAAAAGCATTCCTGCCAACATTCAGTAAGCTTTAGAACGAAACTTAATTAATCCTGAAATAGTTATTCTGTGTTCCTCAGCAGATAGCTACAAAAGAACCATGTGAAAGAGTATGTTGCTACCTATACTATAAGGGAGGATAAATGGGGGACTGACACCCTCCTCACAAAACAGCAGCAGCCTGGGTCTGTGTCATTTGTACACTCAGGCAGTGCATCCTTGTGACGTGTGATGATCCCTTCTCAGGAGCAACAGCGAAAGACCCAATAGGAAGACCAAGTTAACTGCTCTCTTCAGAGCCTGGGCATGCCAGGAGTGTCCATGGCTTGGCTGATGGTCACTATCTACTCTTAATAAATCATCTTTCCAAACCCCTCTGCTCCACCCATCTAAAAGGTGTGTGAATGCAACAGACTCGTTCAGTATTTCTGTTAGTTAGTCATAGAATCACAGAATCAGAAAGGTTTGGGTTGGAAGGGACCTTTAAAAGTCATCTATTCTAGCCTCCCTACAATGAACAAGGGCATTTCCAACTAGATCAGGTTGCTCAGAGCCTTGTCACTTCTGACTGTGAATGGTTCCAGGTATGGGGCAGCTACCACCACTCTGGGTGACCTCTTTCAGTGCTGCACCACTGTCATCATAAAATATCTCTTCCTTATACCTATTCTACATCTACCCTTAGTTCAATTTAAAACCATTTCCCTTCATCCTATTAAAACAGGCCATGCTGAAGGGTCTATACCCATTTTTCTTACCCTGTAAGTATTGAAAGGAAGTGAGAGAGAAGTGATTAAAAATTAATGAAATTCAGAGAGATTATGCATTAACCCTCATAAAAATCAAATTGCTTTGTTCTGGCCAGAAGAGGTAGATCTATATCTCAAATCTGTGTCTTAAATTGTTGGGTTTGCTTATTCTGCTTGGATTTGGTTTTTAAAAGAAAGGCATGATAGCTGTTTCAGTTGGTGGCACTGGAA